TTCTAGACCAGCCTGGCCAACATAGTGAAACCCCATCTCTACTAAAAATACAAAAAAATTAGCTGAATGTGGTGGTGGGCACCTGTAATCCCAGCTATGCAGGAGGCTGAGGCAGGAGAATCGCTTGAACCCGGGAGGCAGAGGGTGCACCCACCGCACTCCAGCCTGGGTGAGAGAGCAAAAAACTCTGTCTCAAAATAAATAAATAAATAAATAAATACATCAGCAGGACTCCACCATGGATAAGGGGTATTGCCTTATCCAGCCTGGGTGACAGAGCGAGACTCTGTCCGCCCCCTCCCCGACCACCTCGCCAAAAAAAACAGAGCAAAGTCAAGTCCATTGTCTTACACAGTGTTCTCATTCCTAATTTAGTTATTTCCTCGTGATGTCACCTAATTTGTTCCTCTATCCTATTTATTTCCTGTAAACCGAGAGTTAGATCTAAGGGCTTGATTAGACCCAGGCTACATACTCTTGGCAAGAATCTGTTGTGAGTACTGCTGTATGTATAGTTCGCACGGCCCAGTTGCTCCGCTTTTCTTTGGGTGGATGGGATTGATGGATCAATGGGTGATTGCTAGACATCTTTATTGAAGAAGAATTAGTCCCCTTATGACCTGAAAGTCAGCTGTGGCCTGCGGTGCTGGCACCCTGCCACATGCATGTAGGCAGGATTCTGACAGACCTTTCCAGGCAGAGGCGAAAGCCTCACCAAGGTGGAGGGTACAGGATGTATTCAGGGGTGGGGAACGGCTCGATGCCATTGGCTCCCAGGGAGGCTGTGGCTGGGCCAAACTGCACAGAACTGTGAAGCGGGCATGAAGAATGAGGATGCTGTTGACAGGGAGGAGAGAGCTGGGAAGGTCTTGGGGCTGAGGATTAATTAGAGTAACGATGAGGAAAAAAATGAGCAGCACTGGACAGCAAAAAAGTTTCCTCTGGGGTGGGGTGGGGATGGTGAGAATGGGGGTATCCCTGTCCCCACCTTCCACAAGCCCTCAGGTGGCCAGGACCCTGTGCCTCAGAGAGCAGGAAGCCTGCGCTGTTCTTGGGGGGCATGAGGGACTCCCCCAGTCCTGGAAGTAGTACAGAAGCAGCTCTGGAGAGGATGGGGAGATCGGGGCACTCCCGCAGGACCAGGGTGAGAGAAGGGAGGGGCATGACGAGGGGGCCACCCCTGCCACCACCTCCAGGTATTTCCTAATACTCCCTCCCTTTCTCCAGTGTCTGCTGGTGCAGGGGGAAGGTGAAGGGTGAGTGGCTGAGTGACTATGCTGCTGAAAGCTCTAGACTTGGGGACTGCGATCATGGGTTCAGCAAATCCTCCTGACAGGGAGGCTTAGGCAGGAGGATTGCTTGAGCCCAGGAGTTTGAGACCAGCTTGGGTAACATGGCAAAACTCCATCTCTGCAAAAATCAGCCAGGAAGGCATAAATAGAAAATCCCAGGGCCCCTGGGGCCCAGCCCCACCCAGCTCTCCCAGCTTATCTTTTCTGGACAGTAAGGAGGGCTGCCCACATGTGCTTAGCATTTCCTCTGCCTGCACCCACACTGGCTGTACCAGAAGGAAGGGGCCTGGGTCCCTGAATGACCACATGGAAGGTTGTCCAAGACTGAGAATGCTTGATTAGACTGTGTGTGAGAAAAAGGAACTTCTGCTGAGCTGAGCCACTGAGATTTGGAGGTGTTTGTTGCAAGAGGTAGCTGTTCGCAACTAACACTCCCTCCCTCTCTCCAGCGTCTGCCGGTGCAGGGGGAAGGTGAAGGGTGAGTGGCTGAGTGACTATGCTGCCGGGAGCTATAGACTTGGGGACTGTGATCATGGTTTCAGCAAATCCTCCTGACAGCTTGTGCCAAGATGGGCTGGGAACTCTGGGACAAATGTCTGGGCTTCCCGTCAGCACCTTTGCAGCCACTCCCAGGTCCTTGTGCCAGCCGGGACTCCCCACCATTCACACGGTGACCTTGGGCAAGGCACCGCCTATTTCAGCGTGAAGTCTTCCCCAGTGGGAGAGAGGAGATCATGGCGCCCCCTGCCCCATCTCACAGGTACAGCAAATGCCAGGCGCAGTGACTCACTCCTATAATCCCAGCACTTTGGGAGGCCGAGGCAGGAGGATTGTTTGAGCCCAGGAGTTTGAGACCAGCCTGGGTAACATGGCAAAACCCCGTCTCTACAAAAATCAGTCAGGAAGGCACAGATTGACCCAAATCGCAGCCTTCAGCCTGGCCCAACCACCTGAAAACGGTCTCCACCAAGGGTTCCTTCACTCAGTTACACCCCACTCTTTGCCTCTTGCTGCAGAAAGAGAGAGTGCGCTACCCTACCACAGCCAGCCTCCTCCCAGGGCCACCCTGTCCCCCTCTCACATAGTTCCTAAAATTATTCAATTCATCCATTTGGCTTCTTCAGTATTTACTCTGTTTTCATATACGTATATAACTCCAGCTTTTAATACCAAGCCAAGGGTAGTCATTCACACCATAGCGTGAATTTGCTTCTCTGCTATTTAGGGAAGGAGGCAGGGAAAGTGGAATGGGGGAGTACTCTGAAGAGGTCAGGCCTCGGTATTGGAGGTTGGAGGACCATTCAAAAAAAGCCTGAAGGGAGAAGGAAGTATAAGCAGAAATGAAAGTAGGTCAAATGGGGAAGAAAGGAATAGGAGTCTCCTCTTAGGAAAAAAAAAAAGGGGGAGGCTGGGCGCAGTGGCTCACGCCTGTAATCCCACCACTTTGGGAGGCCAAGGAGAGTGGATTACTTGAGGTCAGGAGTTCAAGACCAGTCTGGCCAACATTGTGAAACCCTGTATCTACTAAAAATACAAAAATTAGCCAGGCGTGATGACACACACCTGTAATCCCAGCTACTTGGGAGGTGGAAGCAGAAGAATCACTTGAACCCAGAAGGTGGAGGTTGCAGTGAGCTGAGATCACTCCAGCCTGAGTGACAGAATGAGACCCTGTCATAAAATAAAAAGGGGTGGGGGGCAGGCACAGTGGCTCATGCCTGTCATTCCAGCACTTTGGGAGGTCAAGGCAGGCAAATTATCTGAGGTCAGGAATTCGAGACCAGCCTGGCCAACATGGTGAAACCTCATCTCTACTGAAAATACAAAGGTTAGTCAGGCATGGTGGCAGGCACCTGTAATCCCAGCTACTCAGGAGGCTGAGGCAGGAGAATTGCTTGAACCTGGGAGACGGAGGCTGCGGTGAGCCAAGACTGCACCATTGCACTCCAACCTGGGCGACAAGAGCGAAACTCCATCTAAAAAAAAAAAAGTGGGGGGGAGTGGGGGAAGAAAGGTGAATCTGGGCAAATTTGGAGCTTCACACTGACCCAGCAGGGCCCTTTCTAGTGACCTTGAGTCACTGTATCGACATGTAACTGCCTTTTGGCAGGGAGAGGGGAGGGACAAGAGTTTTATTGATTTTGTCTGCAGCCACTTTCTGGACTCCGATTCTGAGCCAGGCCCTGTCTGCAGTGCTCCTAGAGGCTGGGAGACGAGAGTAACTTACATATAAACCTTGGTCCAAGAAGTGGGGAAGTGGGGGAGACAATCCCCCAAATCCCAAGAATCTGGGCAGACTATGACTAGGGCCATTACGAGGGGCAGAGGGCCAGGGGACGTCTAATACATGAAATGCAATTACCAGCTGCTCGGGCAAGCAATGCCTTGGAGGGCTGGTGGGACTACAAAGGTGCAGGTGGTGAGACTTGCTGGGTGTCGGCAACATCCCCAGCAAAGACCCCGAAGTGGGATGTGTGGTATGGGTTTGGAGAACAGGGAGCTAGAACCTAACATGCATGAAGGGAAGTGGGCAGGCTGGAGACAGGGATAGAACCCAGATCCAGAGGGCCGCGTGCAGGCTTGGGAGCCCTGACCTCAGCTTAGGGCTGTGGGGAGCCATGGGAGGGTGTGAGCAGGGGAAGTCACTGAGGGGAATAGGACCTATTGGCTGCAGGGAGGCAGAGGATGGGTTAGATGGGTCAGGGAGGAGATGGGAGTGACAGCATGGAGGGGACCAAGGGTGACAGCCTCGGGGATGGAGATCAGGGAATGCAGAGAGTTGGCACAGGCTTCCGGCGGGGAGCAGCTATAATGGCAGGGAGGTAGGGCTCCTGAGCCTTCCTGGAGGAGCCAAGGCCATGGTCATCAGAGTAGGTTCCTCATTATCTCAGCTTCTTGAGAATCATCTTCACCCAGGGTGCTCTGGGGTCGGCACAGATCTCCTTATCCCTGAATGTTTGCAAGCTGGAAGGAGAAGACCCCAGAGACAATGCAGCAACATTAGCATGCAGCAAGGATTAGCATTTATGAACCACCTACAGTATGCAGGGCTCAGCATTTATGAGTCACCTACTGCACGTAAGGTTACCTGCTAAATAGAGTGGTTCAAAATTTATGAGCCACCTGCAGTCTGAAAAGAATATTTCTCAAGAGGAAGAGGAGGTCAAGAGCTCACACCTGTAATCCCAGCACTTTGGGAGGCTGAGGCAGGAGGATTGTTTGAGCCTAGGAGTTCGAGCCCATCCTGAGCAACACGGCAAAACTGTATCTCTACAAGAACATATGAGTCAGCTAGGCATGGTGGCATGCGCCTGTGGTCTCAGCTACCTGGGAGGCTGAGGTGGGAGGATTGTTTGAGCTCAGGAGGTCAAGGCTGCAGTGAGCCCCGATCTCTGCTCCACTGCACTCCAGCCTAGGCAACAGAGGGAGACTCTGTGTCAAGAAAATAAAAAAGAGGAAGAGGAGCAGCAAAGACTTCCAGAACCCTCAGCTCTGTGACTACAGAGTCACAGTCTTGAGTTCCAGGTCAGGACATGAAATAGAATCACCAAGACTTGTTTTTGTTTTGTTTTGTTGTTTTTGTTTTTGTTTTTTGAGATGGAGTCTCTTGTCACACAGGCTGGAGTGCAGTGCGTGATCTCGGCTCACCACAACCTCCGCCTCCCAGGTTCAAGCAATCCCCCTGCCTCAGCCTCCCAAGTAGCTGGGATTACAGGCATGCGCCACCATGCCGAGCTAATTTTTGTATTTTTAGTAGAGACGGGGTTTCACCATGTTGGCCAGGCTGGTCTTGAACTCCGGACCTCAGGTGATTTGCCTGTCTCCGCCTCCCAAGGTGCTAAGATTACAGGTGTGAGCCACAGCACCCAGCCAGAATCTCCAAGAGTCTTATATCACTAAACTACTCTGAGCCCGAAGACACATTCTTTCTAGGGTCCCTTCTGGCTCAAAATCCAATGATCACAAATGACTGATTGATTGATTTTAAAGACAGAGTCTTTGGCTTAGGCTTGTCTTGAACTCCTGGCCTCAAGTGATCCCCCCAACTAGGCCTACCAAAGTGCTGAGGTTACAGGTGTAAGCCACTGCACTCAGCCTCTTTTTTTTTTTTTTTTTTTTTTTTTTTTTTTTTTTTTTT